GTGCCCAGCCAGGCAGGTGCCTCGAGCCCGAGCCCCGCCCCCGCAGAGCCCCCAGTGCGGGAGGGGCCTTGGTTTCGAGGTAGGAGACCCAGATGCTCGTCCTGGTTCCACCCCCAGCTCGCTGTGTGACCTCGGGCAAGCAGCTCACCCTCTCTGGGTCTTTGAACTGAAAGTAGAGGTGAGGGCAGGGTCTGAGGCCTCCTTCAGAGTCAGCCGTGGGAGTCGGTGTCCTGGTGGCACGGCTCATCCCTGGTGAGAGCCCTCTGTCCCTTCCGAGTCTGCAGGTGGGAGATGCTAACGTGGGTAGAGGACAGACAGAAGGTGCGGGGGGAGGGTTTCTCTGGGGTGGGGGGAGATCACGCAGATTGTGCAGGTCACGGGGTTTGGTTATGAACGACTCCTCACTCTCAGAGCGAGCCTAGGCTTGGAGGTAGTGAGCTCCCGGCCCTGGAGGTGTGTGAGTAGAGACTGAAGGTGTCTGCAGATGACCTTTGTGAGGAAGGGTAGCTGACCTCCCCCGGTTCCTACCCGGTGGTGCTGTGTGTGCCCTCCCTGCCGAGTCCTCCCACCAACCACAGGACAGCCGTGGAGATGGAGGAGCCGCCAGGTAGACCTGGTGCTGTAAGGGGACTGCGAGGAGTGACATGCGCACAGCCCCCTCCCCGCCCCCCGACAGGCGCCCCTGGTACAATGCAGACCCGAGGGGGCTGTTTCCCAGCCTCGCAGCAGGACCCCCTGCCCGCCCCCTCACCTGGAGTCCTGTCTCGGGTGGAAGGATCGGGACACTGGGGCCACTCCATGCCCAGCGAGCATTCGGTGACCCTCCTAAATGCCGCGGGTGTCAGGACCCTGCTGCCCCTCCGGGTCCCGTCCAGCCCCTCCCTCCTCCTGGAACCGCTGAACGTGGCTGGGTCGCGAGCAGGTAGGGTGGCAGCTGCTGAGACGGCGCTCACCTCCGGCCTCCTCTTCCAGAGCGAGATCGCCCACGATGAGCACTGCACTGCCTGCCAGAGAGGGGCTGACCTGCAGCCCTGCGGCACCTGCCCGGGGGCCTACCACCTCGGCTGCCTGGACCCACCCCTCAAGACAGCGCCCAAGGGCGTGTGGGTGTGCCCCAAGTGCCAGCAGAAGGTATGGGGGTCGGTGTTGCCTGGGGGTGAGCCTGTCCCCCAGCACCACTCTTAGGCTGTGCCAACCTGTGCTTCCGGGTGGTCCCTGCAGAGGGTGCCGACGGGGAGGCAGGGGGCGTGGCGGGGCTGGTTGTCGAACAGGCCCCTGCATTGCGCCTGCCCAGGGTCACAGCGCTCTGCGGGGGCAGCTTCCCACTCCAGCATGATGGTGGGGCCTCCCTGGGTCCCAGCTTTGTCCCCACTGCTCTCGGGTCCCAGGACTTGGGAACAAGACAAGTGCTCATTTATTTATTATTTCACCGAAGAAGAATTCAGCCCTGCTTGTGCCAGGCCCTGTTTGAGGCCCTGGTGACAAGCAGATCCTGCCCTCGCCCAGCAGCCCCTGGGACCCAGACCCCACACCGGGACGGCCCCATCCCTGGTCCCGGCTGAGGAACCTGCAGCTCAGAGTGCGCGTGCCTCCCCAGGGTCCCATACTCGGGGTGTGGCGGGTCCCCACCTGGCTGCCGGCTCAGGTCCCCTCTGCCCTGCAGGCCTTAAAGAAAGACGAAGCTGTGCCCTGGACCGGGATGCTGGCCATCGTGCGCTCCTACGTCACCCACAAGACAGGTAGGACTCGGGCAAGGGCACCTGCTCCCTTCTCTCCTCCTCCAGGCCCATCGGAGGCTGTTCTGGCCGGAACTCTGAAAAGAGGGCCCTGGGATGGGGCCGTGCAGGGCAGTAGCTGGGAGGATGGCCTTCCAGTCCCCATGCGTCCAGCCAGGACCACGGGCTCCTGTGGGAGGGTGTGGCCTGTAGGCGTAGACCTCGGAGTCCCACTGCTGACCTGCCCCCTGGGCACGGCCCGGCCCTCTCTCCAGTCAAAGAAGAGGAGAAGCAAAAGCTGCTGCAGAGAGGCAGCCAGCTGCAGAGCGAGCACCGGCAGCTGGAGGAGCGGGACCGGCGCCTGGCCTCAGCCGTGAAGGTGCGCGGGGCTCGGGGTGTGGGGCGGGGCTGCCCTAGAACCACGTAGATCCAAAGCATCGCTGTCTGGTTACTGAGGCCCCAGAGGAGGGAGACTCGCCAGCATCACGCAGCGATTCAGAGGTGACTCACTCGACAGACAGTTATCAAGCAACTGAGCACTGAGTCTGCTCCTCCTCAGCTCTGTGACCTGAGCAAGGCCCTGGCGTCTCAGAGCCAGTGTCCTGTTGTGCAAAGTGGACATAATGACCCCCCGCTGCAGGGTGGTGATAGGACAATGGTGATAGATGTGGTGATGGTGGTGATGGTGCTGGTGATGGTGATGATGATGATGGTTGTGATGGTGGTGATGGAGATGATGGTGATGATGATGATGGTGGTGGTGATGGTGGTGATGGTGATGGTGGTGATGATGGTGATGATGATGGTGATGATGGTTGTGATGATGGTGATGATGGTGATGGTGGTGGTGATGGTGGTGATGATGGTTGTGATGGCGGTGATGGAGATGATGGTGTTGGTGATGGAGATGATGGTGATGATGATGGTGGTGGTGGAGATGATGGTGATGATGATGGTTGTGATGGTGGTGATGATGGAGGTGATGGAGATGATGGCGATGGTGATGGAGGTGATGATGATGGTGGTGATGGTGATGGAGATGATGGTAATAATGGTGATGATGATGATGGTAGTGATGGTGGTGGTGGTGATGGTGATGATGATGATGGTTGTGATGGTGGTGATGGAGATGATGGTGATGATGATGATGGTGGTGGTGATGGTGGTGATGGTGATGGTGGTGATGATGGTGATGGTGATGGTGGTGATGATGGTGATGGGCTAGAGGTGATAATGATGGTAAAAGCAGGGCCACACCCTGGTAAACTCTTTCAGTGTAGTATGAAGATACTCTGATTATTCCTATCTTAGAGTTTTGGACACAGTCTCAGGGATTTTAAGCTATTGGCCTAAGCAGCAAATAGCTCCAAGTGGAGGTATTAGTCCTTCGCTTGTCACCGTGTTGCTAGGATACAAATCCAGGCTAGAAAAAGGCAAGCATACCGCCTGCAAGAGACAGAGCAGGGACCTGGCTGGCGTCTGAAGGTTTGTGCGGCTGCGCAGCTGCTCTGAGCTGGCTCTGAGCTTCTTCCAGGAGCGGAGAGCAGGCGTGGTGGGCAGGTGGCGTTGCAGCGTGAGCAGAAGGTTCCCACACCCCCCGCCACACACACACTATTTGTAACCCTAAGTTTAAAACAAACTGTGTGTCTGGCTGCTGTTTAATTCCATTTTTCGCTGCTGCTTGCTTTTTGTGAGGCTCTCTGCCTGGCTGCTTTCAGGCCTCTGCAGGGGGAGGGAGAGCTCTGGGAGAGGGGGTGTGAAGGGGTGCTGCCCAGGATGCCTGCACAGTTGAATTCTGAGACCCTTCTCTCTGCCCCCCACCCCCAACAGAAATGCCTGGAGCTGAAGATGAGCCTGCTGGCCCGGCAGAGGGGCACCCAGTCATCCTTGGACCGCCTGCGGGCCCTCCTGAGACTGATACAGGGCGAGCAGATGCTCCAGGTCACCATGACGACCACCAGCCCCGCCTCGCTGCTGGCCGGGCCCTGGACCAAGCCCTCAGCAGCAGCCATGCACGCGGCCCTCCAGCACCCCCAGGGACACAACTGACTCCGAGGCTGGTCTTCACACCCACGGAGTCACTGGGACCCGCCCACAGACCGGGGGTTCTGTCAGCCTTAACTCATGAACAATGTGAATTTCAGACAAGAACAGAACCAGACAGAACAAGACAGGAGGAAGGGCAGTGGAGCGAGCGAGAGTCCTAGTTCTCCAGCCGGGGGTGGGGGTGGAGCCCCCCCACACGTTCAGACGGGACCCCATCACATTCAGGTGGGGCGCACCATCAGCCTGCTGTGGTGGGACTGCCCAGGCCTCTTGCTTGCAGCACGGCTGTCCCCACACCTCCCTTGTGCAGAAGTGTGAGGGGCCAGGGCGCCCCGCTGAGAGCCAGCGTGCCCCAGCCCCTGAGGACCGTGTCCGGTGGGGAGGAGCCGGACGCAGACGTAGCCGAGTAGTGCAGGTAGTTGGACAGAAGTGGGTAGCGAATCTAGGTAGGACGCCAGGGCCCTCCCTCATGGGGCCATGCCCAGGCTGGGTGCTCGTGCCTTCCAGAACGCCCAGGCCCACCTGTCAGTATTAGCAGCTGTTTGACTTGAAACTCTGCGTTCAAGGGGATGCTGCTGCGTTCCCCGCCAGTGCCACTGCCCCCCAAGTCCCTACGCGCCCTCGCCTGCGCCTCCTCCCTCTCGCGGATGCTTTGGGCTCATTTTGCTGTGGGAGCCTTTTCCTCCTGGAGTTTCCCGGCCAGACGGCGCCGCAGCCGCGCGGGAGGCATGGCGCACGTTTTCAGTTTGGGGCTGAACCATTCCACTTCCGCGGGAGCCTTTTATTCTTTCCTTCCGAAGAGCCGATGAAGTATTCCACTCCTGGTTTCTTGCCAGTGCGGACACGATGCCAAAAAATGACTACGTTTTTGTGTGGCGTTTTTATTGTGAGATATTTAATGTGAAGGGGGCACGCTTAGAGTCTGTCTCTGCTCACAGTGGCCTCCGCTGCCACTGGCCCCGAGACACCCGAGGGTGGGCGGGGAGGGGGCGTGGCCTCGGGAGGTGTGTCCTTTGGAGACAGAGCCCCTCTCGCCCTCTCCTGGAGGGTGTGCTGGCCTCTTAAAGGGCTCCTGTGTCACCCCCACCCCCTCCTCCAGTCCCCAGGGACCTAGCACAGCAAACAGAAGCACCGGGAGCCGCAGGGCTCCCACCCCCAGCATATCACACGGTGCCAAATTGCATTGAACACGCGCGTGCGTGTGGGCACACCCGCGGAGCAGGGAGGCTGGTCCGAGCTGCAGGCTGCCCCGGCCCCTGCCGTCCTGGCCACGACTCCGGGAGAAACTGTGTTGTACGATACAGATCTATTTTAATACACTCAACGCTGGTTGAACAAGATTTTTATATTCTTTTATCGATGAGCAAAGCGAACTGTGAGGCACACGTCTTCTATATTGGTTACTGTTGACGCCGATTATGCATTCCCGCGTGGCTCACCATGCGAGGTCTTCAGGTTCTTTCTCGGTTCGTTTCCTTCTTGGGTGGATTGAACTAAACTTTAAGAAATGTAATGGGAGGATGTGAAAGGTTGGACCCGGGAGGGGTAGCTGCTGACGTGTCTTGAGACTTAGTTTTTCGGACCCAGGAGGCCCGTCCAGTGGGTAGTAAAGGATAGAGACAAGTGTTCGTCGTCAATTTGCCCGTGTAGTTCGTCTGTACGACGCATTAAACTCGATTGATGATCGCAGAGCCCTGTGGTTTGTGTTTGCAGCCTCAGCCGAGCGGCCCTGGGAGCCCTGGGGAGGGTGGGAGGAGGGGAGCTCAGGGCGCCCTCTACAGGCTGACCCCTCCCCAGGAGGTGGCAGGTGCACCTGTTAGGGCCAGAATTGATGGTTGCCAGTAACAACCAGCAGGCCAGGCGCCACGGGGAGGTGCTGGCCACACTGGATCATCATTACCCGCTTTTGCTGCTTCCTGGGCAGCGGGCACACAAGGTCCCACAACCACCTGGGGCTTAAACAGTGGCCTCTCGAGAGCAGCCAAACTGGGGAGCCAGACCCCTGCACCGGGCTCCCTGCTCGGCCAGGCCTGCCACCCCAGTGGCCTCGAGAGCAGCCCAACGGGAGCCAGACCCTGCACCGGGCTCCCTGCTCGGCCAGGCCTGCCACCCCTGTGCGTCCAGCTGTGGCCAGAGCAGGGGATCCAATGCAAAGTGACTGCCCGCTGGAGGCCTGGGGGTCTGAGGGAAGGGGGGGGCGCACACAGGGCTGAACAGCCCACCCAGCAGGGGTCAGCTACAAGCCATCCTGTTTCTGGTGAGCCCAGGGTCACACAGTGTGACGGCTCTGGCTTCTGCCTAAACGTTGGGCGGTGCAGGCCCCAGGTCCGCGCCTCGGCCTGCCCTCTGAACACCTTGGCTGGCCTCCCCCCGCCTCTGGCCTTCTGCCTGAGCTGCTGGCTCCCGGCTCCTGCCTCCAGCCTGGTCCTCCGCTGTGGACTCCACTGCTTTCGTCTTGGGACAGAGCTGCTGGCCTTGGGGCTGCCTCTGCCCTGGCTCAGGGGTCCCCTGGGAGCCCCCTGCTAGCCCACCTGGCCTGGCAAAGCCAGGGTGAGGGGACAGCGCTGAGGTTGGAGAGCGAAGACTGCAGTGTGGCACGTGAGCCCGGACTGCGCCTCGTCCTCATCCCCAGCCCCGGTTCCAGCACAGCCCACTCACTCCCACCGCGAGGGCAGGGGTCTGGGCGCTGGTGCCATCCCCAGCTCCTGACCAGGACGGGAACCCCCTCCAAAGTCGCACCCTCACTGCCCCCTCCTCCTCCCTGAGACAGCTATGCCATTAAAGGGACCCAGAGTGTGCAGACATCTGCCTCCTGCAGCTCCGCCCGCCCAGCCAGCACCCGGGGGTCCTGTGCCCATGTGCGGACAGCCCTGGGGTGGGGCGGCCGCCCTCCAGCACCTCTCTCCCAGCCCCATCTGCCCCGGGCCCCAGAGAGCAGGGCCATCCTAGCTCCCTGGCCCTTGGGGATGGAAGCCCTCGGGGGTGGAGGGTGCAGGCTGTCGGACGGTCACCCTCTCTGCGGCCTCTGCTCACATGACCGTGGTGACGGGACTCCACTTCCCAGAGGGCTGTGCCGCTGGGACACTGTTGTAGTGTGTGTGTGTGTGTGGGGGGGGGGGCGGCGTGACCAGGCACCACAGACCCCAACAGAAATATATTCTCCTGGAGGCCGGAGGCCGAGATCCAGGTGCCCGCAGGGCTGCTCCTCCTGAGGCCGGGGACAGACCGTTGGTGACCAGCCCCTGGTGACCTTGGTCCTTTGCTTAGACAGCGACTCTTCCCTGGCATTCTCACCCATGGTCCCCGTGCCATTCGAGGTGATCTCCGCGTCCCTGCCACCTCCCCTGTGCCCGCCACCTCCCGCGTCCCTGCCACCC